AAGACACCAGTTAAATTGTAAATAAAAAGATTCTTTTTGATAATATATTAATGACTTAAGGAGTGCAGTCCCTAGCTAATTATCTGAACAATTTCTCCTTTATGCACAACACTTCAACCCACTGATATGACCTGTTTGTCAGCAAGACATATTTTATTATTTAATATAAAAATGTATTATGGTTGCTTATTTTATATATTTCAATACATGTCAGAAATAGATTCTTATGAGTTGTACACTTTTTAAAGAGCCCCTATTAAGGCTTAAATCTGAAAGTGCACCGTGTTTAAAACAATTGATTCATCTATAGAAGAGTCGATTCATAGTAGTTTGAATGAATTGCCGTGGTAGATAGCGGAGAAATTAAAATGGTCGTGCCCAACTGAGTCTGGTTCTCTCAAGGTTTTTTTTCTTCACTCCCATCAGGTGAAGTTTTTTACCCTCTCCGCTGTCGCCACTGGCTCGCTTGGTTCAGGATTGGTAGAGCAACGCATCGATGAATTTTCTCTTCAGTGTTTGAACTCTCAGTAATGATTAAATCACACTGAACTGAGCTAAACTGAACTGAACTAAACTGAACTTAAACACTAAAAACTGAACTACACTGCTCCAGTTACTATGACCATTTATGTGAAGCTGCTTTGACACAATCTACATTGTAAAAGCGCTATACAAATAAAGCTGAATTGAATTGAATTGAATAACCAGTCTTTATCTGTGCCAGTGTGGTGAGAAATCGGGTCAACCCTTTTCCCCCAATTTCTGTTTCATGGAAATAAGATTTTTTTCAACTTATTTCTGAACATAGTAGTTTTATTAACTCATTTGTAATAACTGATTTATTTTATCTTTGCTATGATGACAGCACACAATATTAGACTATTTTCAAAATACAAGCATTCAGATTCAAAGTGCGATTCAAAGACTTAATTAGGGTAACTAGGCAAGTCATTGTATAATAGTAGTTTCAACTGCAATCAAAAATATTAATTGCTTAAGGGGGCTAATAATATTGACCTTAAAATGGGTTTCAAAATATTTAAAGCTACTTTTTATTTTAGTCAAAATAAAACAAATAAGCCTTTCTCCAGAGGAAAAAAATATTGGAGTAAATACTGTTAAAATTCCTTGCTCTGTTAAACATAATTTGGGAAATATATTTAAAAAATAATAATTCTCAGGAGCGTGAATAATTTTGACTTCAACTGATAATTGTTTTGAATAATCGTGATTACAATTATGACCAAAATAATCATGATTATGATTTTTCCCAAAATCGAGCAGCCCTAACGAGTGCTTCAGCAATCTACACACTTACAATGGGGGATTTGTCAGCCGTTTGTTAGGAGATTGACAGGAACTTTACAGTGCACAAGTTTCTAAATAGTTTAGTTTTTGCCACTGTGTGAATTAATACTGAATGTCTGTCACTGTTTTACTTTTGGTTATGAATAGAGCAATATGCTGGTGTTTAACTGCATGCACTCCCGCACTGCTCTCTGCCAATTGGTTTGTGAACAAATGAATCGCTGAACTGCTTGCACTGTATCTGGTTAACTCTTTATATTCTCATATTGTGTCTACAAACAAATAAAAACGCAATGGGTGCTGATTTGTTTACAGATTTAATTGTGTTTGTGAGCTCACAATCCACTGCCGTTTATTATTGCTATGGCCACTGTCAGCTGTTCCTTCACACTTGCGGTGGTCAAGTTTTAAAATAGTTCAGCTTTTGCCACTTTGTGGATAAAGAAAATGTGTGTCACTGTTTTACACAAGGTTAAGAAATATATTGCTATAAATTATATTATTGTCATTTTAAGACAATTTTATATCACTCTTTATATAAAGCCAGAATAACAATATAATATAATGACAATATAAGTACAGTAAACTACATTGAGTGCTGTCTATTTCGAATTGAGCATGACAGTATAACAGATAATGCCACGTACACTGTAATGTTTTGGTTTCAAAGATTCAACATTTTCAATTAAATAAGCAACAAAATAAAATATGTGTTCATATGTGTATTTTCAAGAAGCAACTTTACTGAAGATGAGAAACGAATTCCTCCCTGTGACACAGGCAGGATGAGGCGATCGCGTGCAGTTTGCTTAACTAACCTTAAAAGTTTTAGGGAGGCTAAGTGGAAATGTTGCCTATAGTGACAGATTTAATGTAGCTAGCTAAGCTAACGTCCCGCCAGCTGTCATCAGAAAATGTGTCTGCTCCAGTTACATGCTTCAGAGAATGTGATGTGATGATTATGTGTTTATTCTGTGTTTGATATGATGCTCATCTAAGTGAGCAGTGGTCAGAACTGTAAAAAATGTATAAAGGCAGCAGAATAAAAAAAGATTGAGCAGCTGAGTTGACACAAAAACCTTTTTTTTGTTGAGTAACACAACAGTAACATTACTCCAAAGATGTCTTAGATTTGTACCACCAAGGCTTTCTGACATTTACATGAGTTTGAGGAAATAATGTTCCTAATCATTCTCACAGCCATTTGAGTGGCACGGAAATAAGACACCAAACACCAATCTTTCATTTTGAAATATTTCCACACTGCTGAGTCTGACATTGTATTCCTGCTGCTGAAGCCTCTGTGTGTGCTGAAAACGTTCTGTGAGTGACATCACTGGTATCAGTTTTTGGTATCTGTGTGTTTTCAGGAGTGCATTAGCTCAGTATCGGTGCATCCTTAATATCTAATATACTTTATTTGTAAAAACAATCATAATTTGATGTAGACAATTTTGTGGAAAAAGAGGTGTTGCCTTCATATAGAAATTTTTGTAAAAAAAAAAATACTGTAAACATCCTGTGCCAGTAGAACACTTGTTTATAGTGCACTTTTAAATTTTACCGTATTACTAGCAACCAAAATTAGCAGTAATGATTTCAATTTTATAACCATTTTTTTTTTTTTTACAGTGTACCATTTAAAAAAAACATTAAGAAAATAAACCTTTGTGGCAAAGGAGTGTGTAGGTGAAACTATCTAATTTCATAAAAGTTAGTTGTTAGACTGTTATGACAATAAAATAATAAAAAAGAAACTCCAAGCTCAGACCCAAACCTGTCATTATATAAATTTCTTGACTTCTAATAATCTCTAGAGAAATCACAACACAAGTTTGCAGCTTTAATTTAACAAAACATAATAGTGTGCTGGTAACAGTGTGTTAGGAACAAACAAAAAAAAGGTGACAAGCTGCAAGTAAATTTAAATTTTCAATATTATATTTTCTAGTCTAAAATATAATGAATGTTCTTTAAATGTTCAAAAATAAAAGTTAAATAGTTGTAAAACTTTTTTTATTTATAATATTAATGTATATTTTATTCTATATCTATTTAAATATAAACTAAATAGAATAGTATATTAACTGGATCCATGCTGATCAAATGAACAGTTGTTTTTCTGTTATTAAGTTTGAATTAACAAAGATTAATGAATACTTGTAAAAAGTTATTATCATTTAATGCTAATGCTAACATTTTCTGCACTGTACAAATCGCTTGGTTACTTTGCAAAAGTCTAGATCGGATACGCAGCCGACAGAAAGTGTGATATGTACATCAATTAAAGTAGACACTGCATAACAATAATTAATATTTTTACAGTACTGTGACTGTTGGGTTTAGGGTTGGGGTAGGCATTAACAAATACAATTTATTGGGTAATGTAATAGATACCATAAATAATACTTGGTAAAACTACTGTTTTTACATTACTGTGACGGTTGGGTTTAGGGTTGGGGTAGGCATTAATAAAATACAATAAATGAGAAATGTAATAAATAATATAAATAATTCTTGTTAACTTCCGGCGCAACCATATCTGATTTAGCAACAACCAGTTACTTTACACAAAACTGTAGTAAACCCATTGTCTTAAAAGTTTATATATTTTTAGAATATAGTGAATATATATTTTACATAATTTTTAGACAATGTTTTGATTCAGTTATTCAAGTAAAGTCAATTTTAGCATTCAAACAACAAAACACAACTATAAAGATTATTTTTATCATGATTACTGTGATGAAAGTTTAGTGTTATCATGATTACACAGACAAAAATGCTACAAAAATACTTTTGCCATTAAGAGAAGGTTTACACTAACATACTTTTTTATGCCACAGATGTTTTAAATCTAATTGTAATGGACCAACTGATGAACCTGCATAAACAAAAATGGAGCCGATATAAAAAAATTTGTATCCTCTGATCAAAACATACAGAAAGATCCCTCAAAAGCCAATCCAAAAAAAAAAAAAAAACATTTCACTCAGCACATTTCAATGATAATTTCACTCCTTTGGACCACAGACAAGGAGATCAGTACTATCTCCAGTGATAACAAAATCCATAGACCTTTGTAAAGAAGAAAGGACATCATACTCTACGTGTGCTACAGTACAGATTAAAGTACTGTTAGTTAAATCAACACACTGTGCTAATTCTAATTCACAGCTATAATCTGATTGACAAATATGTTAAAATAAGTCCATTTATACCAAATTCTACTGTACAAGTCTGTAAATCTGTTAAATTTGAGCTGCTGCTAACACTGTATACTTTTGTTTACTGAACTTGGCCCAGTCTTACTCTCAGGCGTGTTCTCAAAACCTAGGAAGATGACTATCAAGACAGCATTCTAGCCATCATGTTATACCCCAAAATGCTGTCAAGTAAGCAGCCAAACGAGATTCCAGACACGGCTCTATACTTCCGTGACCTGACGCAAGACTATTGGTTAGCACGCAAGTCTGGAAACAAACAGATGTATCAGATTGCAAAAGAAATAAACCGATAGTTGAACTTTGTCAACTACGTAAACACGTGCTACGAACTATAGATCCAATATTCGTAACGTTCAGTCTGCTTGTCAACAAGTGGCAACGCCTGAAGCATGAACTCAAGCTGTATAAAGTTTGACACAAACAACCGGCAAAAGTTTGACAATATTTTTAAAAGACTTTCCTCACCTCATAGACTGTGGCCTCGGTGGGGTTGGCCGACCCAGCGATGTATAAAAACAAGCCCATTTTAAACAGACTAGCGGACCATTACAAATGTCTCAGTGTTGACTTTGGTCACAGCGTTAGTCTCGTAACTATACTTATTGTTCGTTAATCGAATCGAAACCGTAAAAGGCTGTCACTCGAACACCGCCCGCCTCCTACTCTCCTTCTGCCGTTTATTGGGTCATGAGGGGAGGCAGAGCAGTGGAGCAGCAGCAGCATGAGCTCCACTGATTGCCCCCAACTATTACACAAGTGAGTCCCAGGCTGCGATCTCCAGCTCGGACACGGTTAGGTGTGGCGCAGTCACATCATACGCCATGTGCGCAACGTGATGATGGAACAAACTGTGCTGCTTCGCTCCGCCTACCGAGAGAACGTACTGGGGATTTGATTCTGCTGCTCAATGATTCGGATCATTTGAACTCGTTTTTTTTGTGTGTGTTGTGAACAACATTTATGATTCATTAGTCCTATTAAAATTGATCGTTTCAGAGCAGGGGTTTCAAAACTATTTTCTTATAGGGCCAATAACCAAACCTGATTGAGGCTAGTGGGCCACAGAAAAAGTGTATTTAATAATGTTTAGAAATGACTAGAAAGCATTGCTTTATATGAACTAATAAAACTTTATTTTTACATTTAACAGCGAACTTATCACAATAAAAAAATGCTATTTATAACAGAATTGCAATAGTTTTGCCTTAATTTGTTTGCCCGATGTCTTCTGCACAGTCATCTATCCATGTAGTGACAGTATTTACATTTCTAATAATCTGATTAATTCACAACACAGGTGTCAAATTCAGTTCCTGGAGGGCCACAGCTCTGCACAGTTTAGCTCTAAACCTGCTTTAGCACCTACTTGTAAATTTCAAACAAGCCTGATGGACTCAATTAGCTTGATCAGGTGTGTTTAATTAGGTTTAAAACTAAACTGTGCAGAGCTGCAACCCTCCAGGAACTGAATTTTACCTGTGATTTACAACATTTCATTTTAGTTTGCTTTTTTTTTGGTAGCTCAACAATGAAACAATCCAAAAATGTTACGTCAAATCTGAAATGACAATCTCTGTGTTAAAGGCGTTCGCCCCAACTCTTCATCATACTCACTTCTCCTCTCAGATGGGATGGTGGGCCAAATCATAGGTTACACAACTTTTGCCCACAGGCCCTATATACTGTTCTAGAGTGTTAGACACAAAAAAATGATATATTGGATATCAAAGACAAAGTAAAATTAAACCTAAAATTTCCTAAATTTTTAAGTTATTGCTTTCTCCAAACAATGGTAAAAGGGTTTCATTCATATTTCATAAATACATTCTGAAGCACAGTAAACATCTTTGCAGCACACACCCAAATAAAAATTTCAAATAAAATCTCTCCAAAATAGTGTAAATCAGGTCTCTTTTTATCATTCACCTGAATGCAATATTCTTGTTTATGGACATTCCTTTAATTCAATTATTAAAAATAATTCAGTAATTCTTATAAACAAAACAAAAAAAATAATAATAAAAATTAATCCTTAATGAAGAATTTTAGTCTCATACATATTTTAATTATTAACCCTCCTGTAAAATATATTTATTATATAATATTTCAAATATTCAAATTTAAGTGCTGTTCAGTAGACAAAATATTTTACTAGCTTTTTAAATTTGTTTAACTAGGCAAGTTCTGTTTATTTTTAAAGTAATTTCAACAGTGGTTTGTTATCAGCATAAAAAAATCTTAAGGAAGCCATAAATAATGACCTTAGAAGTGTTTAAATATATTTTTACTCCATCCAGAATGAAAAAACAGGAAATACTGTGATGTGAAATGCTTTGCCCTGTTAAACATCACTTGGGGAATATTTAATCAAGAATTAATATTCCACAGGGCTAATCATTTTGTCTTCAACTGTATATGCAGTATATGGTCCTGTATTTGACAGTAATAAAGTAATCCAATTTTAAAGCTGTATCTGTTTGCAAATAAATAATTATTTCCCTCAACTTAAAAGTTTGCCTAAAAAGAAAAAAAAAAAAAAAACAAGAAGGCAGAATCATTCACAATAGAAAACACACAGTCTAAGCCAGTCAACTTACAAGACTTCAGATGACAGGCTTAGGTTAATGTATTTAAAAATATGATGAACACACAGCCATTTCCTTTGGTTCCATTCAAATGTTATAATTAGATATTAAAGGTGGCCTTTAATAATAGATTATAATACCACAATGAAACCACAAGTAAAGGTTGATATCTTTGACAAAATAAAAGAAGCAATATTATATACTTTTAATACTTTAAGCAGCATAAATCATCCAGCATAATGTTACTTAAAAACACAAATTCCTTTAAATACCATGATAAAAATTCAAATTCATTTTATCTGTAACCCTTTGTATTTATCCACTTTAAAAAAAACAAATATGATTTCATAAAATCATGATGGCATCCGATGTAAAACTTGCAGTCACATGCAAACAGAGAAAATCTTGCCTCATCATCACCAGTCTCTCTCGTGTGGTTCTCTGTAAGGTATGCCCAGGTGTTGAAATACATTCTTCTCTGTCGGCGTGTGTAAAGGAGTTCCCGCAACCAATTTCACGCCACGCTGCCGAATGACTGCACAGTTCAGCGAGTGCTCTGATAGGCTCATGTTTTTAGTCTTAGCCAATGCCCTCATTGATCGGTTGAAGTGGGCGGAGCCAGTGAAGTATAAAAGAGCGCATGCAAATTCTGAATAGGGCACAACTATGATGTCAAGTCTCCTGTGGAGCTGTGAAGGACCTGGAAGCCGACAGATTCCCATGTACTTCTTCTGCTCACCGTTCTCCTCATGGCTAACAAGGTCATCAGTCAGGAAACCTGGATGAGGCAAAAAATATATAAAATTAGAGTTAAGTCACTTAGAGTTTCTGCAGGTGTGAAAAAATTATTTGACTTTATGAATTGTAAAACCAGTCAGAATATTGGCCTTATTTGCAGAAAAAATTAAGCAAATTACGTTTGGAATAAACGATGCAAAATAATCAAATAAAAATATACAGCTGCAAGCAGCAATTAGGGGACCAAGCAGTCCATAGGCAGAATCAGGGCTGGACAGGGACAAAAAAAAAAATCAGCCCTGGCATTTTGGGACAGAGCGGCCCACTACATCAATCAAAATGCTCCCCATCTGTGCTCACCCTTAAATACGTTTACCAACTCGCATTTTATAAAAGCACAAAAGCCCCATATAGAAAATAATGAGAGTTGACAAATTAAAAACATAAAAAATTTAATTTATTGTTGAAACAAAATTATAAACCACAATGGAAGTTCATCTTGTGTGTGCTAGTGTGTTTTGAGGAAACCTATATTAAATAACGAACTAAAAAAAAACTGCACAGTTAATGTTGATTAATAAAATAAAGATAAATATTAAAAGCAATGTATCAGAGATTCTTAAAAATTGTTCAACTCAACAATGAAAAATCAAACATAGCTTAAAAATTGTACATAGTCAATCAAATGAACTTAATCAATTAAAAAATGCAACAAATATTTGTTTGGGCAGAACTACAAAACTAAATGTAAAAATTTGTATTAGTTTTGCTTTAGTTGCACACTAGTATGGTCATGTATAAATATCGTTATAACCATATTGTATAAATATTATTGTAACTATAAGCCTACATCAAGCTGATGATCAAAAACAAAATGTCATGATATCTTATGCGATTGTCCTCTGTTCTGACCGAGTGCATCTTAAAATACATGAATGACACTCCTCAGAGCTTGAGAAGCATATATTCCTTAAATTTGTAAAATAAAGACTTGCAGATTAAGGAAACAGCATAGGAGGAAGTTGCCGCGGGCCTTGGTGAAGATGAAAAGCAAAAAAAAAACAAAAAAAAAAACAGTATATTTATATAGACAGGTAGGTAACTATATAGAATAGACAGGAATATATTGATCTGTGCTCCGCTGCATGCTTCAGATGCAAAAGACAAATGCCTGCTCGCCGCTTCTGCTCTCCCACGTGCGTGGGGTGAGAAACAGGCGTGACTCTTGACTATTTTGACAAATACACACCGAAGTTGCACGCTTACACGGAGCCCAAAATGGAAGTTTGTGATTGGTTCAACCCAATGTCAGTAAGAAAAGAACCAATGGGCTCCAGATTATGTCACGTGGTCTGGTCTGTCCGGGAAAGAAACAACTTACTTTTAGAGCGTCATAGATCACAGCATCGTCAATTAATTAGGCAGCAAAACATGACAGTCTGCTAAGTGTTTTATGGGCCGATCAGATCATAAGAAGATGATCAGCCCAGCGGGAAACTGCCCGGTCTGCCAGATGGCCAGTCCGCCCCTGAAGAAGATTTTATTCTCTCAGTGTGAAGTATTTTCTAAGTGTAAAGCAGTTAATTTTATCTTCTCAAAATGTATGTAGTGTTTGCAGCAAACATGCCAGCGTGTGTTAAAAATACTGTGTAAAATGAGTATGCCTGCACAGGAGCAACACTAGGAGAAGGCTACGCAGAAGAATGATTGAATGACTGATTGTGTAGAATAACTGAATATGTAAAGCACTGATTATACATGTTAAATACTTGTATGAAGCTATATGTGTCAGAAGTTAGAGTGAGTAACATATTATCAAGTTATTATCCTATCATGACAATGTAAGTAAACACTCAGTATCTTTGCATAAGTTGCATCTATGCTCTGCTGACATAAACATGTAACATCTCTGTTGACATGAGCTGGTGGGCTGAGAGCCAAGAATAACAGGGCCACCTAGAGTAAAAACTTATCCTAAAAGGGTTAAAAGTTAAAATGAGACACCTAGGGGTGTGTCAAATAACCTGTATAAAGATTGTGGAAAACACAGAGACTTTAGAAAGACAGAAGGAAAGAGAGGAATTGTCCAGGAGAGACTTCAGAATGCTTTGAGGTGTGCTCTGCTCTTTCTCGGCTTTATTATAGAGAATAAAGTCTATTTTCTGATATTCAAAACCTCCTGTCTGATAATTTCTAATTGATGAGAAGTCGAAATACGAAACCCCCTGGGCAGAATTAGTAATCATTGCAGCAAGCACCAGAGCAACTGGATTTTCTATTTAAAACAATGAACTTTGAGCACATAAATATGTGATATTTGACCAATTAATCCGTGCAATATCTAATCATTTAACCTCTTGAATGTCAGTCCTTCTCACCCTATCCAATAATGAGATAACAAGCTCAAAAATAAAAGCCCACCCACTATTCAAGAATTCATTTCAGTTGGAAATATTGTGGACTTTGATAAAAGGCTAATTTTTAATATGAATAATTGTATACGTTACATTCATATATATT